TGTATTTTACTGTGCATTCCATATTCATAGAACGAACACAAGATTACAAACAGTACAAATATTTAAATTACTGTCAATATTTCACTGTGTATTCATATTCATAGAACTAACACATGTTTACATATGTATACCAAACAGTACATGTATTTAAATAACAGTCAATATTTCACTGTGTATTCATATTCATAGAACTTTTGGATAACTTTTGATAACATTGTACTTGTTTCTCAGCATAAGTAAGACGTGTTTTATAAAACAAATCAGATAAATAATTTCCTGAAATGTATTTTTAAAAAATAATCTATAGTATACCTATGTAACGCTACTTTTGCCCAACCGTTTATAATAAAAAATAAATAGTAGTTTTACACGCTCTAATCATGGGACTGCTAAGGGGTATGCTGTGCAATTAAAAAAAATGTTTGTTATCTCGTGTTTTCAGGTATTTAAGTAATCAAACAGAATTAATGTCTCAAGGTTTTAAGTTTTATTATAAGTTAAAACAGTTTTTTCGCTACATTTAATTTTTGTCCCATTTTGTGTCAGAAATAAGTTTACGGACCCTAACGCTAAAATCTGGGGTTCGATTCCCTGTAGTAGACAGAATGCATATATATATTAATGTTACAATCTTATAGGAATAAAATGTGATAAAATACTATAAACGTTTTCAATAAATATCTATTCAACTGCTAACAGCTATTTCCTATACTGTCACTTAGTCACCAAGAAAAAAAAAACGTTCCTGACAGAACATTTTCACACGTAGTTAAGGTATCCACTTTTTTCTGACAGAACATCTTCACACGTAGTTAAGATATCCACTTTTTTTCTGAAAGAACACTTTCACACGTAGTTAAGTTATTCACTTTTTCCTGACAGAACATCTTCACACGTAGTTAAGGTATCCACATTTTTTCTGACAGAGCATCTTCACACGAAGTTAATGTATCCATATATTTTCTGACAGAGCATCTTCACACGTAGTTAAGTTATCCACTTTTTTCTGACAGAACATCTTCACACGTAGCTAAGGTATCCACATTTTTTTCTGACAGAATATCTTCACAGATAATTAAAGTATCCACGTTTTCTTTGTCTGCTATTACAACAACTGGCACCGCTGCAGAAAAACAACGCGAAAATCCTGGATTCGATTCCCTACGGTGGACAGAGATCATATAACCCATTGCGTAACTCTATGCTAAAGCAACAACAATTAATTGATTAATAAGAGAATATTAAAAGCAAACTGATCGAATCGAAACATTTTGAAAGCAACACGTTTCAATACTGTTGAACGTGAATTCAGTAAACCTTGCAAGTTTTTCCCATGAAGTGGATCGAATAAAAAATACGTCAGGCATTTTATCATTATTATTATTATTATAAACTGAAAGTTGTAAGAAATACACCATGAACCTTTTCAGACAGCGATGTTTTGTAAAGAGTTCTGAACATCTATTTACAGCAGTAATACAGTTGGAAGGTGTCGTACAATAGTGACAAGAGACATTAGAAGTGACATTAAGTTGCTGCTATTTAGACGTAAAGTAGATACTTATGTGGTACAGTAGATTGGAGAAAATGAATTATATTTGGTGTGGTCAAAATCAATGACATATTGGTTTAGCTATTTGACTATTTAAATAGCTAACAACAAATTTTATCAAGAGATAACTTTAGTTTTATGGTGTGCTTTGGATTTCAATTGTATTAGTTATTTGAAATTTCAATTCTAGCACATATGTAACATTTTCGGAGCTTCAGATGAAAGATGCTTAAGCAAACAATTATACACGCCACTCTTGCCCTATTACAACGTCACCTCTCTCCCATGATGGCATCAGCTACCTTAACTTTAGGCCCTATTACAACGTTATCACTCTCCCATGATTGCATCAGTTACCTTAACCTTAGAAATCTCGAACATTTTGTTGATAAAAAAATAACCCTATGGATCTGTCTTTTTTCAGTTTTTGTTCCTTGTTCTAGATTATGTATATATTTAGTAGATAAATACGTAACACCTTGTAAAATAATCTAAAATAAAACTTAGATCTACTATTAGATGACAAAAAGTTTATATTGAGACAATTTTGGACATTTTCACCTGTCCTAACACTCAGATCACAGCTAATCTCATGGTGTAAGTTCCAAGCTGTTTTAAGGGTTAAGACGTCAGTTTTTTTTTTTTTTAATTTCGCGCAAACCTACACGAAAGCTACCTGCAATATCAGTCCTTCTAGTCTTACACTGCTAAATTAGGGACGGCTAGCGCAGATAGCCCTCGTGTAGCTTTGCGCGAAATTTATAACAAACCAAACCATAACAATCAAAATAAAATTTAGGGCGAAGCCTATAGCTCGAGAAAGAAGTTTATCAACAAAATGAGAAATGTAAAGGAAATTCTCAACCTATAGGATTTTGCCCTAAAATTTCTTTGGGACAAAAAACTAAACATAAGAATATTACGCAGAGATGAAAAGAGGTTTATTCACTGAAATAAAGGAAATATTTTGAGTTGACACAACAGACGAAAAGTAAACTAAAGAACATACTCAAAGACCTTGATGTTTCTATTAACAAAGGTAAATGTTGACAGATTTTACTTCCCCAGAAATGGCAACTTTCCCTCTTAGGATTTATAGGAGGATTACTCAGCAATTATGAGCGGCAAAACGAAGAAAATATCACATACAAAGCCTTCGTTGGCCTTTACTCAATCTTATAAATCTATTTGAAAATTTTCAGCCGTAGGACCGAATTTAAAATCATTTCTTAACGTAGATGGTTGTGTTTGCCACAGTAAATTAGATACGAAGGCCTAAAGAGTCGTACTGATTTATTTATTATGACGTAATGACTTATCATGGTACCGACAGTGATGATTGGTTAAATTCTCGTATGAATAATAAGTCCAGAATGTATATAAAAATACTTTCTTAAAAGTTCAGTAGATGGAATTGTGAATAAACATATTCCTAAATGAAAATCATTACAATTAGCTTGATGGTGTCTCTATGTGTTCTAGATTGGCGCCCACTTTCGCCAATCTGTTTTTGTGTTACTACGTAAATTAATGTTTAGAAAACTGATCGTAATCGCGTAAACCTTTTTATTACCGCAGATTTGTGAATGACACATTTACCATCTTTATGGATGACACGTTTACCATCTTTGTGGGTGACACATTTACCATTTTTTTAAGAACTCTGATCCAGTTGTATAATTTTTTGAGTGCTTCAGTAGTAAACACAAGAGTAAAAAATTTACTGTGGATCATCAAAAAGATGGTAAACTTTCATTTCTTGATACTTTGGTTAATAACAATAATTAATGGTCACTTACAACGTAAAGCACAACGTAAACAAACTTATCTGTTTGTACTTCAATTTCACAAGAATCATACAAAATCTCTTAAACAAAAACTTGGTTAAAATATTCTTCTATCACGCATGTAAAATACCTAGCATAAAGAAATCAGTAATACCAAATAATTCTCAGGTAAAAATGTTTTTACATCTGCTATTAAGCGAACATATCGTAGTTATTTAAATACGCGAAGTAAACCGTTTACATTTGACGTTTCGAAATATTCTATGTTATTACTTTGCCATAGATGGATAAATATTCTTTTATTATTAAAAGCAGTTAAGAAACGTACTTCAATAGGTGCATCAAACACACCTGAGGTGTGTTTTAAAACCCAATTGTCGCCTACAATGTTTTTATACATATTCCTGCGTTAAATATATCGTATGTAGTTTATGAATTCCCGTTTCTATGTTGCCAACAAGGCTATATTGGATCCATTAAAATATATTGTTAACTCGCGTTAACATGAAAGTTCTAGGCACCCTAATAAGTCCAGTGTACTTAAACATGTCCTAGGTAAATCTGATGTCGTCGTCTTTTCAAATTATTTTAAGATCTTAGCAAGGACCAATGATGAACAGAGTCTCCGTATAAAAGATAGTTTAACCGTTCACAAACTTAGTCGAAACTTAACCCATTAGGTTTAGCAAGTAATGTATTTTTAGTTTCGTTATACGAATATCAACAACACAGGAGAATCAAATACTTTTGTATTGTTACTTAACATTTTCTTTTATATCAACAACACAGAAGAATCAAATACTTTTGTATTATTACTCAACATTTTCTTTTATGCGTTTTCCATCGAGCATGTAAAATATCTAGCGTTTATGAATTTTGGCTTAAAGAATTCAATAACACCAAATAATTATCAGGTCAAAATGCTATTGATAGAATACATCGTAATTATTTAAATAAGAAAAGTAAACCATCTACATGTGATACTCCGAATATCCAGTTGTTATGATTGAGCTATACAGCTGTTCTATTTTGTTTTTCACTGATCCTTTGTGGACATAGTCTGCTCTACAGAGAGCAACCACTTCTTTTTCATACAATACGTTGTTTATTGCCTCTATTCCTACAGATCGCCAGCTAAGAGGTAATGATGAGCTGAATGTTGGAGAGAAAGTTTATTTTTGGACATTACAAAAACATAAACATTTCAAACAGTAGCTAACAATGAACGTAAAAATAAGCTTTTACTGCTTTTACTACCATACAACATGTGTGATTTCGTCCCACAAAATGTGTTATATCATTAAAACATATGAGACAAAAAAATCGAAATCAAACTCACAGTGGAAAAACAAGAACTACAGAAGTGGATTAAACAATATAACTTAATTCAATATTAGGCCTGAAATGTAAAATAGCAACAAAAAACTATTATATACTCTTAGACGTATAAAAATTGTTATTTCTTCTGACTCCATTGTACTTTAACTGAAAAGTATACATATTAAAAAAAAAACAAATCTATATAGCTGTTCTATTGCTGTATAGGTTTGGGTTCGAACATAATTTTGTTTTTCACGGATCCTTTGTTAACATAGTCTGGTCTACAGAGACTAATCTCTTCTTCTTCATACAACATATTGTTTATTGCCTCTACTCCTATCATTAAACTGTGATCTTGATTTGCTACTTCATATTTGTAACTTCCAAAGCGCCCTCTACTCCAGACTGAATGATCTTTAAGCCAAGGGAGTGCCACTTCTAGAACGCCATCACGATCGATGTGAGGGATTGGATAACCACGATTTTCCATTCGATAATGAATTGACACAATCTCGTCTTCAGACTCCATTAAACCAACGTTGATTGCACCTAGTATGGTAGCATATACAATGGTATCTTTGTTGACTGGCTTGTGTTCACTCTCACTTACTTCCACCATAATAGACCAATATGGTCCCGGTGCCACAATATTGTCGTTTACAGGAGTAATTCCCATTTGAATAGTTGGCAAAAGTCGATCAGCTGGCGGAGCATTACCTTCCCCATATCTAGAGAAAATGGTTGCTCTGTAAAAGGGGCAGTTGTCTTCTGGATAGTAAATCCAGCTTGCGTGCACTCGAGGCTGATGTCCTCGAAGTCCGATTCCTATGATATGTGTTTTATTGTGTTTGAGTTGATCTGCCAGTTCTGGCTTTCCAACAAGCTTAAGCGTGTAGTCAAGAGGCATTGTAGATAGCAGTTTGTTGTACCGAAAACTCTCCCCACTCTCAAGTCGAACTTCTTTTTTATATAAGTTAAGGGCTATAACTTTGGAGCTAAATTTAATTTTTTCTTTTGGCAGTAGATTT